GAAGGAAGAAGAGAGAAACATGGATGTGAGAGTGGAACATCAATTGGCTACCTCTTGAACACCCCCTACTGCAGATGTGCCCTGACCAGGAATTCAGCCAGCAACCTTTCTGTGCACAGGATGACACCCTACCAACAGAGCCACATGGGACAGGGCTAGCAAATAAGATTTTTAAAACAATTGATAAGTTCTAAATGTGAGCAGAACATTAAATGAACCAAAGAATAAATGTAAATTTTGTTAGTTGCGATAATGACATTGTGGTAAAGTAAAAAAGAAAAAAAAAATCCTTTATTTTTAAAAAAATGTCTACTAAATATGTGGAAGAGAAATAAAATGGAATGTGGGATTTGCCTTCATATGCTTTGGTAACAACAAAAATGAAAAGAGGAACAGGAAAACAAGTGTGGAAAAATCTTGGTAATTCTTGTGTTTGGGTGATAGTAATTTGGAGCCTCAGTAGAATATTCTATTTTTATATATGTCTGAATTTTTATATGAATTTTTTTTTAATCCTCACCCGAGGACATTTTTCAACATTTTTTTCAGATAGAGTGGGAGGGGGAGAGAGAGAGAGAGAGAGAGAGAAACATCAATGTGAAAGGGACACATCAAGTGGTTGTCACCCGCACGACCCAACCAGGGCCGGAGACAAACTACAACCGAGGTACATGTCCTTAGCAGGAACCAAACCCGGGTCTCTCTGGAGCGCAGGCTGATGCTCTAACTGCTGAGCCAAACCGGCCAGAGCTATAATAAAGTATTTTAACAGTATAATATAGTTCATTAAAATGACTTAAGTGATGGTTGCTATGGGGAGCTCTTTTGCTATAATAAAACAATTGATATCCTATTTTTCCCTCTGTCGTTGAGCTGAAATTCTTGCCCATGGAAGGGTGTCAGGGGTCTATTAATCCCCTGAGTTTTCATTCTCAATTCACTCCCCTGGGTGAGAGTTAAGTGTCATCACATTTTCTAAACTATCAGTGCTCCAAGAAAGGTTAGGAACCACCGGAATAGAAGCCTACTGAGAAAGGTTTTTGTCTATCTTTCTTTAGTTGACATTTTAACTAGTGCATTTATAGACATTTCAGCAAATACTCAGAAATGAAAGTGGGCACATAGTAGTCTCTAACTAGAATGAGGATACATCCCTGTTTGCTTGCAATAGGTCAACTTAATGCTTGTTGTCCAGGTTTGACTGATAAATTACATGGTCACCCTAACTCTAGGCTATGCTTTAAATCTAAAGTAGCAAATTTCTGAAATGTAAATAAATACTTAAAACAGATTTGTTTATGTTGTTGCTATTGTTTTCTGTTCATTTTATTCTAATTACCCAAACTGACTCTCTAATAACTGTATATGTCATTGATTAAGTCAGTGCTTCCCTACCAATTATTCTGAATTTCTGTGATAATTGTAAACTTCACATTTTGTTTTATGCTCTAGCACTAACATTAAATTCTTCCCCTAAAAGTATATACACTTTCTTGTAGCATACTTATAGTCTTAGTCTGTGCATTCACTAAGAGGTATGGGAAGCACAAATATCTACAAATTAGAGGTTACTTAAAGCAATTTCACTAGAAATATATAAGGAACTATTAGATTCCTACATAGCTAGTTTTCTCATATATGGGGCCATTACTGTACACTTCTCTTGGGTTACTGTTCCTCTCTAGTGATAATCTGATATGGTATCTACTCTGTAATTGAGACCTGACAGTAGCATTACTTTTCCCTGAAAAAATAAAAAGCAATAGTCCAAAAGCAATCACTTGGCAAATGATGAGAACTATTTTCATTTGCAACTGAGTTTATTTTCCAGGATTTATCATTGCTGAAAAATACTGATTACAATATATAAACAACCATTCCAATTCTATCAGGTGGCATACAATCTCCACTTTCTGGGTGACCTGATGATGAGAAACGATTGACTTCTATCTATCTTATTTTATGGTGTAGTTACCATATACATATATGTATGTAATGATCCATAGAAAATAATCTTTTCCAAAGTTTCAAATGTTAGTCTACATTTTGCTTTAGGCCAGATACAATAGAAGATAATGGTTTCCCAGGGAGAAATTAAGTATCGAAATTATTCCCTACAAAATACATTGAATTTTTGCACCATACATAAAGAAAGGTATGTATATTATTTATCTAGCAGATCTATGTAACTGAAGATGATGTTTCTGAATGCCTATGTTCAGATATAAACCTTTAGCTTTAGCACCCAGTGGTTTGGCAGTAATAAAAGTCAGAGGATACGTAATTTGAAGGTCTGAGTCTGAGAAGAGGTAGAATTACCTGTGACACTACTTCTTACACTCGTTTCTCAAAAAGCCATAGCCCATAGAGGATGAATGACTCACCCACAGGTCACATGATAGTTCATAAAAGAGCCAGGCCTGGAGAGCTTTTACTACATACTATCTTCTTAAAGCTGAGGTTTTGGAGAAAAAACGGTATTCTATGTAGACCATAAATTAGCCAGAATAAAAATGAAGTTGGAATAAAAAGTATAAGGGAAACACCCTGGCCAGTGTTGCCCAGTTGCTTATTGTCCTGTGCACCAAAAGGTTGCTGGTTTGATTCCTAGTCTGGGCATATGCCCTACTCCATCCCCAGTAGAGGGCTTGCAGGAGGCAGTTGATCGATGTTTCACTCTCACATCAATGTTTCTCTCTCTCTCTCCCTCTCCTTTTCTCTCTCTCTAAAAAGAAAAAAAAAATTATAAAGGAAACAAGTTGAATATTGAGTAGCATTTGAGAACTCAAGGAAAGCGAGCACATGGAAAATAAAGAGTTTTAAAAAATGTGAGACAAAGTACGGGGAAAATGAGAATGAAAACAAGGATTTAACAGACTTCTCTGAATCCAAGATGGCATTTTATGGACCAATACGAAAAGAAAAAAATAAAATTAACTATCACAGTAACATGCCATTGATTTATCATTTCACAGATATTAAAATGGGGGTTGGAGGAGTGCTTCTTAGAATAAATGGAATCTGGTAAATAACTAGGATGGTTTACTTGAGGTTTGCCACATGGTGGTGTTTGTTAGTCACTATATTAATTAATTGCCTCCTTTTTTTTTTTTTTCTCCGCTTTCTCTTCTCCATCTTTTTCTAAAGATCATTATCCCAATATTTTACTAAATACTTCCTCCCTGAAAACAATTCAACAGCCCTAACCAGGCCCTATTCTCAGACCTTTTTCTATGCTATTATAAAAATAGTCTTCAGTTCACTGTGATACCTGGAGACTCATCTATAGTGAATAATGATAACAGAGCATAAGCATTAAAACGTCCAAAACCTATACTCTAAAACTATCCTGGAATAAAGGAATATGAAACTATTTTCCATGTTTAGTGTATCTGAGTGAAGAGTGGGGATCCTCCAAATCACACCTTTCGTTCTGATGGTCTTTGACCACTCAACAAAATCCAGTTGCCTGTCACTGCCTAAACAGTGCTATTCCCCAAACTGCTGCAATTCCTTCCCACAGCTTCAGCTGTCCTCTAACCATTAGTTCTCAAAATCTTGTTTTAGAGTAAATACTCTTCATCTTCAGATGAATTCCAGAATGTTCTCTAAACCTTCTCTCTTCCACTTACACTCTAGACTTCTCATAAAGAAATTCCTCATTTTGTCATCACATACCACAGGACTACAAGTGGCACTCTTCTAGTTATTACATTATTTTTTTTTAATCTTTACCCAACAATATTTTCTCAAATATCTTCAGATAGAGTGGGAAAGGAGGAGAGAGAGAAAGAGAGAGAGAGAGAAACATCGATGTGAGAGGGACACATGGACTGGTTGCCTCCTGCACGACCCTGACCAGGGCCAGGGACAAACCACAACTGAAGTACGTGCCTTTGGCCAGAATCTAACCCGTGACTCTTTGATCCACAGGCTGATACTCTACTGCTGAGCCAAACCAGCCAGGGTTAGTTATTATATTTAAACCATTCTTTTCCCAGCCTCATCTCAAAACCCTCCCCACTTTTCAGGTACACATTATCTGGCTTCATTACACTTTACTCCTTATTGCTGGCATCTTTTCCTCTTCCATATAATCCCATTAATTCCCTGAAGACTCTGATGCCGGATTCAGTCATATTTTCCATTCCAAAGTATATTATAATCATTGCTGACTTCAATACCTATGTTCATAGCTAACAACCAATTATGCAAGTTCTTTGACCTTCTCTCCAACATATAAACCACTCTTACGTCATCATGAAACTTATTAGTACCTAGAACTGCTATACTACAAAATCTTAAATTCCAGCACACTAGTTTCTTATAGATGCTCCTTCTTCAAGCTTTCTCATTTCTTTACTTACAATGTATTTACTGGGATGTCAGCAAAGCCTCTAAAGTTTACAGTATTTATTGAGGAAAAACGCAGGTGTAAGTGGACACACACAGTTCAAACCCATGTGGCTCAAGAATGAACTGTAACTGTCTGTGTGGCTCCATTCTGGGTGCTTTATTCTGTTGTGATCTCCCTGTTGATCCTTGTGCCAGTACTACACTGTCTTGATTGCTGTAGCATTGTGGGGAGCCTTCAAGTCAGGCACTGCAAATGCTACCACCACTATGACTAGTTTTTCTTTTTCTATTGTTTATTCACCTCTTCCTCCTGCTCCCTGCCTCTGCCTCTTCCTCTTTCTCCTCCTTTTAATTCTTCTTTGTGATATTTTATTTGTATAGAAGTTTTATTGAGGTATAATTGACATAGGTATAATTGACACATTTTTAAAGTGTACAATTTGGTGAGTTTTGACATGGATAAATGCCTGTGCAGCCATCCCCACAATCGAGTGACCATGTCGATCTCACCCTAAAGTTTTCTTTTGTGCCTTGGTAATAAATTTTCCTATTGCTTCCTGGGCCCCACCAACTCGTTGTTCACAGAAGCCTCTAATCTACTGTCTGTTACTTTAAATGAGTTTGTTTTTCTTAGAATTTAATGTAAACACACTGCTTCAATGTATTCTTCGCTTCTGACGGCACTTCCTATTAGTGATTTCATCAGAGCATGATTCAATGTATTTTTATCATTCAGTCTAATAATTCTGAGATGCATTCATGTGGTCATATGTATCAAGAATTCATTGTTGTTGATTTTTAGTGAGCAGTATTCCACCCTTGTATGTATATACTAAAATTGGTTTATTCACAAACCTGTTGATGGGCATTTAGGTTGTTTTCATTTTGGGCTATTACAATAAAGCTGCTACAAACAAAAAAAACAAGAATAAATAAAATTGGCTGTGGTATGTGTACAGTTGGAGGATGTCTTTCCTTGATTCCTCATTTCCTTCTATGCCTTAAGAAATACTTTAAACAGGATTTAGGGAGATCTATAAAGCAAGGTCAGAATAAGATGTAAGTTACATACAAATCAGTAAATCCATATTATGCATCCAGTAGGTACTAGATGTCAAAAGAATTAGGAGAGGTAGTGAAACAAGGATAATACCTGAGAGATTCTTTGGAATCCTGCCCAGTGTTTTATGTGTTTTTTTTTATTTTTCTTTTTTTTTTTAAATCTAATTTGAGAGAGAGAGAAATATCGGTTTGTTGTTCTACTTATTTATGAATAAGTTGGTTGGTTCTTGTATACACCCTCACCAGAGACTGAACCCGAAACCTTGGTGTGTCAGGACAACACTCTAACCAACTGAGCTACCAGCCAGGGCATACTCAATGTTTTAAGTGATCAGAAAAACTGAGATGTTTAGCTGATAAAAAAAAAAGAAAAAGAAAAAGAAAAGCAAGAAAGAGAAGCTACTAATAAGTAAAACAAGACTAACTTTAAAACATCAGGAAGTAAGGCTATTTTTTTTTTTAATTTCATTGTAGAAATGAGAGAACATTCAGAAAAATTACTTTGGCTTGTATAAAGTCCCTTCTGATATGGTGTCCATGTTGTTAATCAAAAATCTATCTTCTTTTCTATATTTGAATTTAATATGACCTTTGTTCTATATTTTTTAAATCACTAAAAATTATACTTTATATCATCTCTTTTTAAAAATATATATAGTTCAGAGCAACTGAAAAATAAGAATAGGTTGATCTCATTATCACAGTGTGTATAATCAGAAAACCCACAGAATTTAGAATCTGGGAACTTATATTCTAGCCTTAGTTCAGCTCACCTATAAAATGAGTGAATATTGAACTGAAATTTGATAAATGCAAATTATTTCCTCCCTTCCTCCCTCCTTCCCTCCCTCTCTCCTTCCCTTCCCTCCCTTCCTCCCTTCCTTCCTTCCTTCCTTCCTTCCTTCCTTCCTTCCTTCCTTCCTTCCAACTATCCACACACCACAACCAATTCCCAGTATGAAACTTGCACTTCAGAAACAGTACAATCAATGATACTTTGTATATATTTATACAGTCTTGACTATGTACTCAGTGCTCATCTGAGAACTTTACGTATATAAAATAATTTAGTCCTCACAATAATCCTTCAGGATAGGTATCATTATTATCTTCATTTTATAATCTCAGAAGCCAGGGCACATAAACATTAAGTAATATGTTCAAAGTAATAAATGGTAGACGTAAAATTCAAGCCTAGGCAGTCTGCTCCAGAATCTTAGCTCTTATCAACTATGTCACACTCTCTCCTTAAGAGGTGCTTAGAGTTGTGCAAAGCATCTTTGAGAAAGGACATGACAATATGATGACACTCCCTTGGAATAAGAAATCCTAAAAATCAATTCTGGCAGCTTTCGCTGACACAATCCACTTGTGGCATATTATATGTTTAACCAGAGATCCTTTATCATGGACAACCATATAAATACACACATACTATAAGATAGATAGATAGATAGATAGATAGATAGATAGATAGATATAGATAGCTATAGCTATAGATATAGACATAGATATAGCTATAGATACACATAGACACACTTATATACATAAACACACACAATATTGTTTTTTAAAACTTTTCTATCACATTATTGTATTTCATAGTATGTCTACTAATATCTACATTCTATACTTCTTTTTAAAGATCTGATCACAGTACAATAAATAACATAAATTAGGGGGTAAATATGGGTCAATAAAATGACAAACTATCTTCCATGCAGTACAGCTTATCAACAGAAAGCATACTCAGCCCCAACCCTTTCTAGGGCTTCATGAATTAAGGAACTTCAATCTATTTCCAATTCATTTACACAACTCACTGGAATGTTGTTCTGTAACAAATGACTGATTCACAAATGCTCCCCTCCTCCCTGCCAATCCCTTATAAAGAAAGAACAGAAGAGGCTCCTACTTCTACATATATGCAAAACACTGTATAGCAACTGTTAGAAAATAATGTGATTCCATGTTATGCTCCATTTAATTATAGAGTTGCACTTATCACACCATATATAATTTTTTTAATGGTCTGTATCCCCAATAGACTGGCAACTCCTGAGAAAAAATGCTTTATTCAGTTCATTTTTGGGTCCCCAGCATCTAGCACAGTGTTTGACACATAGCAGACTCAATAAATAATGAATAGTATATAAACAAACAGATCTTCTTTCTGATTTTTGGTTTTCAGCAGTTTTTTTTTGCATACAGTTATATTCATAATCCTTTGAAATAAACAGCATACATTCAAAGAATAAAAACCATAAAATTGTGCAGACGATGGCAACAAAACAAAATAGTTCCCAGAGAATTAACCTAGTATATTATAACTGGCCCAAAAGGAGTAATAAAATTGAATTATAAAATTTTAAGAGAGAGATAACTATTTTTTAGCACCTTAAATTTACATATCAATTTATACTTAGAAAGTTCAAAATATTTCCATTTATTTTTCAAACCGTTCTAATTAGCCAAGTTAAAGGAGCTGACATTGAAAAAAATCTTCATTTTATTTATTTCTTAAAAATATGTTTTTATTGATTTTTTTTTTTAGAAGGAAAGAAAGGGGGAGAGAGATAGAAACATCAAGGTGAGAAAGAAACATCAATTGGCTGCCTCCCACTCATCCCCTACTGGGGATCAAGCCGGAAACCCAGCCATGTGCCTTGACCGGGAATTGAACTGGGACCTCTCAGTCCTTGGGACAATGATCAATCCACTGAACCATACCCGCCACTGAATAAGAAATCTTTATTTTAATCACTACATTATCACCAACATAATATAGCTGTAAAATGTTTACAGTTTAGAGATGAAAGATACTCTAACAATACACATATTAATTGAAATGTTCTAAGCACAGTTGATTCCTGTTGATTTCTAACTAGCTGTCAATTTTTACCATAAAATCGCAAACTAATTATTGCTTATTAATAAAAGGATAAGCTAGTTTATACATCATCACCAAATTACAGGGATCTTCCATATAAACAATTTTTTATAAAGTTATTAATATAAATTCTTTATATTTAAAAGTAATCTTTTTCTTTTTAAAATTGAGGTTACTTTGGTTAATAAAATTATATAGGTTTTAGGTGCACAATTCTATAATACATCATCTGTATAGTGTATTGAATGTTCATTACCCAAAGTCTAGTCTCATTTCATCACCATTTATCCCCCCTTTACCCTCTTCTACTTCCCTCCAACCCCCTTTTGCTCTGGTAATTACTCTGTTGTCTATATCTATAAGTTTGTTTCTTTTTTTACTTAATCCCTTCACCTATTTCACCCATGCCCCACACACCCCTCCCCTCTGATAGTTCCTCAGTCTATTCTCCCTATCTATGAGTCTGTTTATATTTTTTGTTTGTTTATTAGATTCTACATATAAGTGAAATCAAACGATATTCATCTTTCTCTGACTGGTTTATTTCACTTAGCATAATACCCTCTAGGATCATAACAGAAAGTAAGTACTATGTTAAAAGAATGCTCATTTATATTGAAATATTTTCTTGTAGAGTTTTTATACAAAATATAGTTGTACTGTATTATTTTATTAAAAATATAAAAATTTAAAAGTAGTCTACTTTTGGGCTTAAAATATAATTGGAAAATTAGAAGGGATAAAAATAAAGGCACTAATATTGAAAGAAAGTGGTATCCTAAATTATGACAGCTATGTAGAGTAGAGAATTAGATATTCCTGAGGAATACAATATCTTAATATTATTATTTCTCTACAGCTTAATGCTAAGAGAAGCTGTCTTTAAAATTCTGACTAGATGAAAATAATATCATCATGTACCAAACATCTTTGTCATTGAAGATTCACATTAATATTCTCTCTTGTATTTAAATGTACCTTTATTGCTATGGGGTAAAGATAACTAGAACCATGGTGGATTTTTTTGTTTGTTTGTTTGATTTTGCTTCCTCCCTGTATAATGTCCTTGGTATGCATGAAAAACTGAGACTAGGAACCAGAAAACCATCCAGATCTTTGTTTCTAATTATGGCAATGATGAACTAGATTATACAGGACCAAATGTCATACTGAAAACAGCTAAAAGAGCTCAAAAATATATAAAAATAGAGATTTGAACGTATCAGAATAATACTAAGGCAAGAATAAATTTGGAGGGACCAAGGTAAAAAGAAGAGTACATCCTCAAGAACTAAGGCCTATATTTAGAATCTTCAATGACAGCCGAGAGGTTAGGAAACCGAACAGAGCTTACAAAAGATTCTGAAGGTTGGAGGAATAAAAAATAAAGTATATGGGCCAACATACAGGAAGGTTGGACAGAACATACATTCTTATAAGTCACCTTAGAAATAGGGTGAACTTGAAATAAACCAGTCATCTCAAGAAACAAAGGCCATCTTCCAATAATCTCAGTCACTGATGATATTAAGGTGATTTTTGAATGCCAGCATTCCCCAGCTAATTGTTTCCAACAGCAAAAGTAAATCTTTGGAGTAAGATAAAATCTTCCATAGCCTCAAAATATTGCTACATTCAAAATTTATAAATTGACTAGTAAAAAATAAAAACTAAACCATGCGCCCTGGCCAGTTTGGCTCAGCGGTTAGAGCGTCGGCCTGCGGTCCGGAGAGACCCGGGTTCGGTTCCCGCTAAGGG